TTCTCCCCTGTACCAAAGTTGCATACTTTGCTGTGTTCTTATAGCACTGGCTAGAATATAGGGATTTTCATATTCTGCCATCACTGTTCTCTGTAATGCCCTTAGAGTATCTGCCAACATAATCAAAACTGTCTATTTTTAACGAGGTAAAAAAGTAACCACTTGTTTTTAAGAAATCATCTTAGGTTGTGCATGACTTTGCACAACAAACTTCAAAAATCAGAAGACAAACCAAACCTTCTTCTATAAACAAAACAATACTAACCTTCTTCTAGAAACCTGAAAAACACTCTTCAGAGAGAAGGTGAGATTGATTCCCTCTCACGGACTAGGTACAAATATTATCATTCACATTTTAGCCTCTTTATTTCAAGTTTCCAGAATTTGGTTAACTAAAAGTGTCTTGCCATACACTTTAGTAATTTCATTTTGTTCTAGTAGATGTACTATATGCATTTTGGACTTTTATTTGCATTAAGACACATATGCTCACTTGAGTCCTCTGTATATTATTGTAATGTCTCTGCTTTGGTTATAAAGTATGCAAGCAAAAAAAAAAAAATAATAAAATTAACTCATCATGTTCACAGTCTCTTTAGTTCACAGCAACAAAGAGTAGTGATAACATTAATACCCTGACATTTGTCAGCTGCCTAGAATAAATACAGCTCCTTCTCCATTTCAGTATCAGCACCAGTAAAGGATGCTCAGATTTTCTTAGCAGAGAGTAACAAATCTGAGAGCAGAATAAACAACATTTTCTGTTCCTTGAAAAGCAGAAACAGACATATTCTTTCCCATAAAATGAAGAAAAGACATTTAACTTGTTTCTACATGGCTTTGTTTCTGTCTACTAAATTTATAAGTTGCTTTTGACAGGAAAAATACTGCTCAATAGAGATTGCTTAATAAATGCAAGGTGAGATTGTTAAAGTAACAAGATGAACTGGCAACAAATATACTTGTTACCTCTTCCATTCACCCATAAAATCATTTTAAAAAATTATCTTTTTTTTGTTCCATTAATCTACTTACTTTGACCCTCTAGGGATTAATGTGCTTGTCTTACAGGTAAAAATTACTTTTTACACCTGTTAGCAGTAAGGAGTAATGAAGTTGAGAATACTGTGGATCCACTGCATTCTAAAGTAACAAGAAGATAATTGGAAACTCAGCTGAAAGCAACTGGTAGGGCTTTGCCAGCCAGATGTGACTGATGGAGTCATTTAAAGCTGTGAGAGCTGTGAACATGGGATAGGAGCCAGGATCTGTTCTGAAAAAAATGCTATTAATAGAAGTGGGCAGTAAGAAAGAGGATGAGACCAAACCCCAGAAACAGAATCCACTGAAAACTTCAAATATTTAAACAATAGTAATTCTTCTGTTCAAAGCCTCATTTTGAATTCATTAACAGATTTAGAGTACCTTCTAAATAAATCAGACATAATAGAAAAATTACAGAGAGAGACAATATCCTATTAAGCCATTTTTTCTTTCACCAGAGAGGAAAATGTACTTTATGTAATTTAGAGAAAAAGATCTTGTTACTCTTTTGTTATTCACATGATTAAAATAGATGCCAAGGACATACGAAAAGGCAAAGTGTCTGTTAAAATGATGAAGTGTAACAGTGAATATTTATCATAAAAATGCTAATTTTTAAGAGAACAAAAACTATGGAAAGTCTTTTTTTAACAATGAAATTCATTCTGAGTGCTGAAGCGACAATCCTACTGGTGAAATTAGGCTGTTTTTCTGTTCCATAGAAGCAGAGATGTCACTATTCATCCATGCTGTTATAGCTGCAGACTGGAAAGAATACAATACATGATGAACAGATAGTACGATTTCAATTTTCCTTCTCTTGATGGCTTCTTCAGTGAGTTGAGCATAGCTGTGAATCAAAGCAAAGATGGTCTTTTTCAGTATCTTGGTGCTGCCTTTCATTTTAGATGTACCTGGTCTCTCTTGAGCTTTTAAGGTGTTTGATTCCTGAAATTCACTTTCTTTGACAGCTCAGACTTATGTGTAGGGATTTCAGTAATTTGGCCAAAAATGTTATTTTGCTTTTTATTATTATTATTATTATTATTAAACAGGAACAAAAGGTTGTACAGATACAGAGATTTTGATTTACAAGCTTCCATTGTTTATAAATCAGTTAAAGTTAGTAAAATGGCAGGTTCAAACTAAACCACATTAATCTGCTCTTCAATTCAGATACACAAAGAGTTTTTTATTAAATTCTTCTAAAGCAGATACACAGACAAATGCTGAAGCTTCACACCACTGAAAAGCTCCAAGAAGCTACCTTTTTGTTTTACATCAAATCTTCCTCTTCAATGTTTCTTCAGGTTGCTGTACAAATGTTTCCTATTTTCTATTCCATAAAAGCTTTGTCTCCTATCCCACTTCTCTCCAAATTATTTAAGCCTACATTCCAAAAAGTTCACAGAGACATACTGGCAGCTTTTAAGCCTGATATCTTAGCAATTACGGTGAATTAGAAACAGAGGCAAACCTGTTCAAACAGAATTAGTGTGAGACATATTAGAGGAGACTGTTTTTTTCAAAGGAGAGTAGCCATGGTTTGAAAATCCAGACTATGAAAAACCTTACTTTGGGCATTAAGGAAAAAAAAAAAAAAAAGAAAAAGAAAAGTCAGTTGTGGAAGCAAGTGACAAATCAAAGGCCAAAATAATCAGTTGTGGTAGCAGAGTTTCTAGCCAGTGCAGAAAAAGACGTTTGAATTGTCCAGTAAAGTGGAAAACATTACTGAGAGACCTAGAATGACCAGAGTGTTCAGGGGTTATTATACATAATAATACATTTTAAAATGACATGATTTTGCAGCTATATATTTTGCTCTGAGCTACACCCAAAGCTTTAGAGATTGGAGGAGGTCAACAACAGTATTAACAACATGTTTAATCTGTCAAAAAGCTGTATACTTCAGTTTTATCTCATGAAAGGTAGAGCAAATAGTGGAGCAGGTAAAAGTTCAACAGCAGTTTTCCAGGTAACCAGTGCAATCCATTAATTATTTTGCCACTCAGATGCTGGCAATCATGTTGATAAAAACATTATTTGCTCCTTACTTAAGTGCTCTTTAAAATGTTGACATTTTTTGCTATAATTTCTACCTGTCCTTTGAAGGTGATGTAAAGTAACATCTTTCATCATTCGGTTATTAGTGGGTTTTATGTTTCTGCGTATAACGCATGGGTTAGTCTTTTTTTTTTCTTCCCACATTCACTAGTAGTAGTGATTTTGGAAATGAACAGATGAGCACCCTAATAGCCAGGAAGTAACACTGTAAAAATTAAACTTCTCCAGTGTCTGTCAGCTTAATCCTCCTCCTTTTTAATTTACTACTTGATTCAGATTCAGTAATCCCCCTGAGGCCAACCATCTGTTCATGTTTCCCCACTCAAAAGCCACCCTAAGAGTTATTTCTATAGCAAAAAGTGAGTCAGCAAAATTTCATTTATTCAAATACCTCAGAAATGTTCATTCATTTTCAAAAAAAATATTCCTTTATTTTGTGGCTGAAGGAACAGCTTTTCTTCATGCTTGCTCTGGCAACTTGGACAGAAAGAATAAAGTGGGTTGTTATTAGTTGTTCCGTGTGTTTTTATTCCCAAACCCAGGTGTTAAAGATGATGTTGAGTGAGAACAGAAGCAATAGGACCATAGCTGACCCTTCTGAAGATACAAGATGAGCTGGTAACTGGTCCCAGCTCAGGTGTGGCTCTCTCCAGGTGGTTTTTTTTGTCAGATCTACCAAGTGAACTTCCATGTGTCGCAACTCTGACAAGAAAACAAACAGTTATATCGAAATTAAAAAAAACAAACAAACAAACAGACAAAAAAACAAGCAAACAAAAAAAAAAAAAAAAAAACCCAGGCCATCAAGATGGCTCACAAGGCTTTATCAAGTTCATTCCTTCATTGATCTGGAGGCAGTAACATAAATGTTTTGTTAATGCCAACATTTAAAATGCTTCCCCAAAAACGAGTAGGTGGAATATGAGAATGAAAGATACTAGAATCGTAGAATCCCAGGTTGGAAGGGATCTTAAGGATATCTGGTCCAAACTTTCTTGGCCTAGACTAGCTGTCCCAGCACCCTGTCCAGCTGAATCTTAGAAGTATCCAATGCTGGGAAATCAGCCACTTCCCTGGGGAGATTTTTCCAATGGCTGATTGTTCTCATTGTGAGAAATTTTCCTTGTGTCCGACAGGAATGTCCTCAGGATTAACTTGTGCCTATTGCCCCTGTTTTGTTTTCCAGATGACTCCTCCTGAAAAGGGAGTTGTCACCCTTTGAAAACTGCAACAATACTGTCTGGATTATCCTCAGGAGACAATGAAAAATAATCACCCCAAAATTTACAGACGTCCATGAAGTGTTCAAGTAAGGAACAGTGTTATTTCAATGTGAGTAACGCCACTGTAAAACGAGAGGTTTGTCTTGGAGGGGGCTGGAGGCGTCGGCTGCGAAGCGTACCCATGTCCCAGCGCAGAGGCATTCCACATTCAGTCAACCGCCAAGGGCAGGAAGGGCACTGCGGGGCCTCAGGGCGATAGGGGAGCAAAATTCAGCCAGGGCCCCGCAACGCCGTCCCAGGAGAGGTCGTCTACAGCGCCGTGGCCACAGCAGAGCTCTCAGGCGGGAGCTGCAGCCTCCCCCGGAGCCGGGGTGAGGCGGTGGGGCAGATGCAGAGAGGCCCATGCTGCAGGTACGCGGGGCCGGTGCTAATGCGGAGCTCGCCGAGGGCCTGGGCCGGATCCTGTTCCCTCCCGCAACACGCGGTGTTATCTGAGGCGGGTTCACCCTCCCGAGCACCGGCGCAGTCGGCCCCACTGGCACCCGCCGCTGAGGGGAAACGAGGCGACATCGGCAATTTTGAGGGGGTCTCAAGGGGCCCGGCACCGCAGGCGAGCGGCGGAGGACAGCGGGCGGGCTCGGGGAGGCGGGGAGAGTGGGCGTGGGGCGGTGCAGCGGGGCGGAGCTGAACAGGATTTAATGCTGGGACGGGGACTGGGTCTGGGCGGCTTGAAGCGGGTGGCTGTGACAGCAACAACGGGAGAGAGGTGGGGGTACGGAGGTGGCATGGCTTCGTCACAAGGCAAGTACGATGTGAGGTTTTCCGACTGGATGGCAGCTCTGCCCAGCAGCATCCACCGCATTCCACTCACCAACCTAGCCATCCCTGGTACGTACTCCCAATTCCCCTCCCTGGCTGTGATGCGCCGAGGGGAGGGGAGCGGAGAGGAGTGTTCGACGCGTTTCACTGCCAGTGCTGCTGAAAAGGTAGCGGGCGATCCCCGCGCTGCTTGAGGTGGCTCTGCTCTCCCCTCGAAGTGCCATGTCCCCTGCGCTGTTCCCAGGCCGGGGGGGGAGGGGGGAATGGAGAGGCGCATGGGGTGCCTGGACGCGGTTGTGGCGGCCCCGGGCTGTCACCAGGTCGGAGACGTTGGCGTGCACAATCGACGCTAGCTGCTTCTGAGGGAAGGTAGCGTGTTTCTGTACCGCTTTGCTGGGGTAGCAGTCCTTGTACAGGACCTCACCCACGACCACAACGCCGTGTACTGCCTGTTTCCTCTTAAGCTCGTACGGTGGGGCCGGCGGGGAGCGGGGCTGCCGTGCGATCACACGCGTAGATGCGGTTTCACTACTTACAGCCCTCGGAAAACATTCGGACACGACACTAGTTTAAGTCAGGTGAGAAACAGCAGTTCACGGTACTCTATGAACTCTTTCTTTACCCTGCTGTCTGCATTCTTTTGGAAGGTGTTAACTACACCTGTAGACTTACACAAAATGCAAGTCAGAATCCAAACCAGTGATCGATTCAGATGATCCCTAGTTTGAGGAAGCATCTCATTTTGCAAGACCTCTTTACCAACACCCTGTACCCTCTGAGTAGTCTGACGGCAGTAAAGGAGGTTTCAGAGATGCTTAAACTGCCATGTCTCTTAATAAGCTCCTTTTGAGAAGTGCTCGTTTCTTGCAAGTTGTGTGTAGCAGTTGCTTGTGTAGCAACAGTTCTTATAGCACTAGTTAAAAATAACTTTTTAAGACAATGTAAATGCAGCAGCTGTTTGCTCGAATGTGTTTTCCATAGTTTTGTTTAAAGAAAATGCCCTTTTAAAGTCATGTCTCAGTCTCTTACAATTTACGCAAACTATGTCTAGTATTTCTATTGGGTTTTGATATTGGTTGAATATATTGGGTATAAAATTGCATGCCTCTGAGGCATAGAGTATAACATCCATAACTGTTATGTCAAATTATATTGGAGCTGTAAAAGCTTTTGGTTTGTTAATAACTTTTCATTAACCCAAAAAACTGCAGAATATTCTTGAACACAGGCTACAATGAGAAGTGAGTCAATGATTCACTGGGGCCTTACAAGTTAAATGTATTGTGTTAGATACTTTTTCTTGGTTTTGAGGAGACCATGATCAAACTTACTTACTTTCAGATGCAAAAAATTACCTTTGATATGCATTACCTTTAACTGGCTTCCTTGACTGAAGCATCATAAAGCTGTTATTGGGGCATCTATCTCACCAAGATCTCTTAGTTACTTTCTTATAGACTCTTTGTAAAATATAGGGGAGTTTTTCACAATGGATTTTTTATTTTTATTTTTTTTTTCCCAGAGCTTTGGCAGTAATAATATAAACTTTCATACTTCATTAACATTTTTAAGTAAAAAATCCAAACAACAACAACCAAAAAACCACAAACCAACCAACCAGAAAACAACAAAAAACCACAATACAGCATTAAGCAACAGGCAAGTTCTGCAGCCTGTAAGTGCGAAACCTGACCCCGTATATTGGCAGAAGGGTTTTGTTCAGGTAACAGCCATGCACAGTCTTGCTTTTTGTGAAATTAGCAGCAAAACTTCCATGAGGTGAGTGGCACAGTGTTCAGACCTTTGAAATTTGCTGTTCTACTGGTGTAAATTGACACATACCTCTTATCTGCATTTCTAACTTTTAAAATGCCAGCTTTGGCAAATAGAACCCTATGGGGAAGGAGGCAATATGTTAAGTATGAATTTATCAGTTAAGAGAGCCTGGCACACAGACTGTAGGTCTGTGAAGTTTATATATGTTATATTCTAACAGTAGATTTATTATTATATTCAACATACAATGTGGAAATATACAGTATTAATACTAAGGCAAACATGGGATTGTTTTCTTCTTTTAAGAAGAAAAAAACTTTAATACATTCTTAATGCTTATTTGGAGGCTCCTTCCCATATGACCAGAGCTGAACATATATGTTGTGTGTGTGTGTGTGTGTGTGTGTGTGTGTGTGTGTGTGATAACTGTTAACATACAACTGCTATTCAAGTAGTTAATGAAAGGAATGTGTAGAATCCAAAACCTCATCTGTCAAATCTTCATAGTTTCAACTTGTGTTTTTCTGTTTTGCAAACTAACATATAATTGCTAATGTGTTCATAGAATTACTGATATATCTTGTGAATTGCATTGTGTTTCCATTGCTGTCTTTTTGTGGTTTTTTTTCTTAAGAAAAAAAAAATCCAAAAAACCAGTACATCTTTATATTTTTCCAGCAGGATGTAATCTTCCCTTGCTCTGTAGGAATACCGATTTTGACCTTAATTCAGTAGGATAGAAATCAGTTCTGGAGCCAGAGTAACAGTTCAATGAATAAATTCATTGTTGAATAAAGCAAACTATTAGGTTGAAAACATTAGAATGTATTTTTCCAAATGAATGTATTTTCATTTATCCAATACAGAGAATGCTCCATTGTATTAAGGGGGAAATGTTCTTTTATTAGAAATCATCAGTACATTTCCAATTTTCTAAAAGGTGTGTTGGAACTGAAATTATACATTGTGTCATTTTGCACAGACATGCAGGTAATATTTTAACTGTTGCAATGAGAAGCACAAATCCCATAATATTCTGTCACTATGGTACTTCAGACAATACTGTTGAAGTTATGTTATGCTCCTATTATGTTTAAAAACATGACTGATCACACTTTTTTTTTTTTTTTTTAAGGTCACTTGTTCAGCTCATGCAGACACAGATTCATACTGTTTATCACTGCTTATAATTCCATAGCCAGTACTGGATTTTTTTTTAGTATTTCAGTAAATTTATTTATTTGTTTCATTCTCTGCAGTTCAAGCCATGTTTCCTTGTTTTCATGAGACCAGGAATCCAGTAGATGAGGCAGAGATGCCTAATATAACTTGTGCCAACTTTATCAAACTTTTCCATTTGGATTCCTTCCAAACATGAGGATGATGTGTTATACTATGGTATTTTCTTCTTTCATTGTGCTATTTTGGTTTTCCTGTGAACTGCAAATGGCAGATTTTCCCCAAGTGAAATACCAGTAGCAAATTATAGTATATGCTATTTGAAAATAAAATAATCTCTTTGCTTCCAGAAAATATTATGCATATGTAATTTTCTATTTCTATGAGAATTACAGCAATGAAATGAAATACCATTAGGATTTTGGCTCCAGGTATGTCTCCTAGTGTCTGTACACTGCCTCTTATATTTAAAGGTCTGCCTGCTAAACTCACAACAGTCTGGCTATGAAGAAGAGAACTGTGGGTTTTTTGGTTATTTTTGTTGCTGGGAGAGTGGTCTTTTGGTAGTTGGTAAAGTATGATTTTGTTCAATACCTGCATTCCTTTGACCAGGATAAGAAATAGGGTCTTTTGTACATAATGTATACTTCAATAACTGAAATCTTTGTGCCCCCAAGTTGAGGCTAGAAGGTGAGGTGTAAAAAGCCTGTGTATTCTTCTGTGTTAATGCCCTCCTCAGTCTAGGTTGAGGGTACGAGCTACATGCAATGCTGTACAAGAGACATCAGTAGGCAGTATTTCCTTATGAATTGTCCCATGTACTGATCAATTTACTTTCTTAATAATCCATAAATATGTACCTCATTTTATATCAGTCTGAGTTTTGGGCAGATAATGTGTAATTCATGTTGCCTTTTCCCCTGGTGTAATATTCCAAACCTCTGAGAAGTCTGTACAAATGATTTGTGATGGGGAAAAAAGTGTTTTCAAGAAACTAATCCCCCCACCCTAACTGGTGCTAAGATCTGCCATATGAGTAGTCTTGATGAAGGACATGTTTGTCCTTGATATAGTTCAGATTAAAATCTTCTGAATGAATTTGCCTTGAGAACATAATTTTGAGAGCTGGGACTCTTCAGCTTTAGTTTTACAGGGGAATTTTTCTCTGAGGAGACAAAATGTTTGGCCTCAGTATGTGCTCTTGTTTGCCATGAGCAATACAATTCTCTGTGAAAATTATTTTCACAGTGATGTCATCTTGGCAGATATGTTTCCTTAAGAGGAATAGACACGACCTGACAGGCTTCTTTGTTTCTCAGAAGAAATACTTTTACCTATAAAGTTATTTGTCCATCAGCCAGAAAGCAATTACTAGACACAGCAGAGCTAACAATGGCTCATTTTAAATGATAAGCTGTTGGCAGGTGGAATTTTATAGTACCTGTCCTTAGAAAGAGGCTCTAAGACCTGAAATGTGTGCTTCCCACTGTCCCATGCTTTGAAAAGAAAGAGCAAGATCTCATAGAGAATTAGTTTACAAAAAGGGAGTATGTATGTTAAGGGCAAAGATTTATTAACAGATTGAGGTGGTATGAGGAGACTTGGGGGAAAGCATGCATGCTATTGTAGCTGGAATATTTTGGCCATTTTGTGAATGACAGCACTGCTGAGGTAACATAACAGTGCTGTTTCGAATATTTTCAGTCTTTGTCTTCTGTTGTAATACCTTGTAGATGTTCAGATGGTTACTTCTTGAGTGGACACTTGTCATTCTCACCCTTACAGTGAAATTCTTTCATCTTACAAATGGCTAGTTATAATTCCTTGTTGGTTGTATAGACATGCAACTTTTTCACTGTTTAAATGTTATGAGGCAGCTCTTTAATTTTGATCTTGAGTAGCTCATAAATTGGGTGTTTTTAAAGTGAAAAGTGATTGCCTTTAGGAAGCACTTGAGACTGGTTTCTGTCCATCAGCAATTTACAGAGTAACTCTGCTTCACTTGCTGGGGTCTGATTCAGAAAAACTAGCTCAGCCTAGAATCATAAACTGATGATGCAGGTAAACTTATAAATAAACCTATAATGCAGGTTGACTATTAGCTTTTCAAAATG